AGGGGGAAATAAAGTGAATGTTCTCATGCTATAGTTAGTTACTTATCTTGAGTAAGTCATTTAAGCTGTAAAGTTCAATTCAATAAATATTAATCATTTTCCTTTTTCTTCATTATTCTGACAATAAAATGACATTGTTTCCTTATTTTCAACAAAAAGCAGAGAAGGTGGAGGCTTAAAGAGATGGCAGAAAGAACAGCATAAAAAGCCTCCAACCATTCTAGATCAGCTTCCCTTTTTTCTATTGATAAGAATGGTAGGAACATTGCTTCCTTTATTTTCCTCTTTTTTCTTTCAAAAACTATTTCAAAAGCATTTCCTAAAATAATCTTACTTATACAATGAAGGATCATGATATAACTTCACTTCGAGATTTCACAGTTCTATCCTTAATGAAAAGTAGTCAAGATTGTTGTTATTGTCAATTTTTATTTTTATTCTCTCACTTACAAAACTTAAATGTAGTATATTTTATTTTTTAATATTAAAATATAAGCATTTATCTATCTATGAATATTAAAATTATTAATTCCTAGCATTTATATTTTGTAAATATAAAAAATCAATTTGTAATTATCAACTTTAACATAATTAAATTAAAAAAGAATCAAAGATCTATAATTTTTTTTAAAAAAAAGAGAGAAACAAAGCTTTTTTTTTTTTTGAAGGTTAAATATCAATTTTGCTTCCTTAACTTTAAGATTTTACACAATTTTCATCCCTCAACTTTTTTGTGCACTTTTTTTACCCTTCAACTATGAAAAATACATTTTTTTTGTCTTTTATCAACTATTCTGTTAAATTTATTTAAATATTCATATTTTTAATCCCTTAATTTAAAGTTGAGAGATGAAAAATATGCTTATATTAAAAGTTACGAGACTAAAAAAGTGCATATTTGGACAAACTTAATGGATTAACTGATGAAAAAACTAAAAAGTATATTTTTCGTAATTGAGGGACCAAAAAAGTGCATAGAAAAATTAAGGAATGAAAATTATGCAAAATTTTAAAGTTAAAGGACCAAAATTAATATTTAATCTCTTTTTTTAAAAAAATAATTTTCAATCATTTCAAAATTAAAAAATCTTTTATAAAAAAATTTACCGAATAACTTTACACTTCTTCAATAAAAATTTTTATCAAACACTTTTAACTTCTCAAAAACAAAAAATTTACAACAAATTCTTTTATGGTATGTTTGAAAACATGAATTTGATACAGTATAATTGAATTTGAATCTTTTAAATTCAATATTACTGTTTATTTTTACTTAAATAGGAAGTAATAGAATTTGGCTTAAATACATGCATTTCCCCCCAAATAATTCAAAAGGAGAAAAATCGTGTATTTCAATTTCACCCTCAAACCCATTAATTTCAATTTCAATTTGAATTTCCTCTACACTCTCTTCTCTCACAGACGGCGATGAAGCCCCCATCGTCCGTCCATCATCGACTCTGCCACTACTCTCCACCTTCTCGTCGTCGGCCACTCAAACCACTCCTACCCTATTTGAAACTACATTAGCTATACTACCTCTCTACTTCAGGTATCCCTCAATTTCTGCCTTCATTTCATTTCTGTTTTTCTCTATGTCTTTGGGATTGTTCTTCTCTTTCTCTGCCTCCTTATTTATTGGTAGTCTTCTATCGATTGCCCATATTATGCTTGTTGTTTCGCTCCTTTTGTTTTGATTTATTTTCTGGGTAGTTTAGATTCAGTGTTTTGTTTGATGGAGGAGTTCGGATGCTGGTGTTATGCTGTTTGGTGCATGGGTTCCCAATGATGTGTTTTTGACTTGTTTTGAGGGGCTTTAGGTGATTAGTACGTTGATTTTGAAAATTGAGTGCCATTTTGTTCTCTTTCATTTGGTGGGTTCAATTCTCAAGCAACCATTTTTGCTAAAAATTAGTGAGTTCTAGCAGACTTCTTGTAAGTTTTTAATGATATATACCGTGTTTGGGGGTGTTACTAATTTGTTTCATTGTTGTTATTCTTGATGTTTGGGTGCACTTCTGGTTTCTTCAGGGTGGCTTTTAGTTACTAGATATTGGTATGAGTTCTTATATGCTTCGCTTAATAAGGAAGAAATCAAATATCTATTTTGTGCTAGCTTTGTGTGAGCTTTTGACCCTTTCCCTTCAGTCCTTGGACTAAGCTTCTTTCCCCCATTTCTCCAATTCGGTATTGTATCTTTTTTTTTTTTTTACTTCTATGATTCGTTTTTCCTTTTGTTCCACTAAAGTTGCAAAATCTTGAATTTATATTGATATCTTTGTGATATTTTGTTAGGACAAACATGTGAAGGAGATTGTCTTGAAAGCAATGGGACAGGCAATCAGCAAGACAATAGCCATTACA